CTATGTTAAATATTTATTACATTTATTTCAACAGATCCTACATCGAACATGATGAAAGTTTTGTTATTTAATCTACAATATTATAACAGAAAGTCCGTGGATTGGAATAACTTGACGGACGATGAAAAATATATACTCCGATATGGTTCCTTTCCACCCGAAATGCCCGAATCGCAGTCACCATCACAACCACCGCCACCACCCTCACCGCAATAGAAAGGTAATTTTTTTTATAAAAAATCCAACATTATTTTTTATTTATTTTATTGTACGCTCCGCGAAAAAACATTCGCGCAATCTGATCAGATCAGACGAAAACAAACAACTCTCGACGAAAACGACGATTGTTCCAGACCGTGACAGAAAATATTTGCCGATCGATACGCAGACCCTCTGAAAATCCCGTTGTCATCGGAATTACGAAACTTTATCACTTCACTTTCCTTCCTATGGGAAAACCCCCATGTTAAACTGCACGCGACTGCTCCAGATCGTGACATGCTGAAGTAAAACATGACTATATCATACCACTACAGCGTCCAAGATGGTTAAATAATGTGGAAAAGTGTCTGAGCAATGAGGGAGTAAATACAGTAGTGGCTTAGTAATAGAGCGTGGATGCAATAGAGTAGTGGCGTCTGATAGATCAAGAGGAATGCAGCTGCTTTAGACCATCGTGGCTGGCAATCGGTTACAGTGCTGGTAGAAGAAGAAGAAGCATCGTTTTCAGTCACACCTTCAAAATTTGAGTGGTGCCTGGTTTGTGGAAATAAGTAATTAAGTTCGGAAAATAACTGAGAACCAGTTAGAAAAATAAATTACGATTAGTTTTAGTCGATGCTCGAAAGGGGAAATGAAAGAAAATTGTTTCAGGGTGTTTTCAATCAACGCATCCTAAGCCTTCGTACTGGTTACTACAAACAAAAAATTAGCGTTGTGACATCTTTGTTTTTATTTTTCCTTCACTGGGCAGTTTAGTAGTACTGGCGTTTTTCTTATATTTCTCACTGCGCAGTTTAGGTTCGTTACATGGGACTGTTAAATTGACCCGTGCAGAGGCCTTCTCTCTTCTATAGGCTGTTGTTTCAATCCCATATTCTGCCCAAATAACGGCTTATTATATTTCAGAAAGTTCTGTTTTTGCCTAATATTGTTTTCTGAGATATAAAATTAAATATAGAAGATTGAACCATGTGTGTTTTATTGCAGGTGTGAGCATAACTTTAATTAGACTATCGAATCCTCTGTTTTCTGCATTATGAAATGCATTGAAGTACAATGCATTTCGATACCTAAAATTATAGAGCTTGCCACTCTTTTTTCAAAGGTGACAGTTTTACATGAAATTGATCCTCAGTGTTGTTTTCAGAGATGCATCATACGTTTCCAAAAATTCTATAAAATAAGAACATAATGCAGAGAAATATTTTAGTACCTACAGTAACCTTCCAAATTATTAGGGACACTTAAAATGTCTAAAAAATTGTCATTTTTCAAAGTGTCATAACTTTTTCAAAAATGAATCAATTTTCATAAAAATTTCAGGATATCATGTTCAGGTCTTCTACTTTCACCTAAAAATTATCAATTTAATTTATCTCATTTTTTTGCAAAAATTTGCATTTTTGAATAAAGCAATTTTTTTTTAAAAAAAAATGTCAAGTCTGACAAGTTGCTACTTTGTAACAAATTTTTTTGCATAAAAATTATTATTTACACACTAAAGTACATGTCATTAACTTTAAAATGCGCTGAAGTAAATGACTTTACGATTTTTTGTGACTGAGATATGAGATTTTGAAAATTTTTTGTCATTTATAGTGAAAACGAAATTAATGTGAATTCGAAAATTATTTAGTATTTAGTATTATTTTTTTGCAACTTTCTTATTCGGATTAATTATGAACATTATTTATAAATTTGCAATAAAATTTTAGAAAACGACTCAAAAAATTTAACTTTATTATAAAATTCAAAAACATTTTTACAAAAACAAATATAATAAAAAAATCTTAATATTTTGTAACATGTCCTTTTGCTTGTATAACTGCGTTTATTCTTCGCGGCATACATTTAATACAAGCTTTTGCTTTTGCAATAATATCTGGGCTATTCCAGGTTTCTTTCACCAAAAATACTGCCACAACTCACTTTTCCCTATAAATGGCAAAACATTTTCAAAATCTCATATCTCGGTCAAAAAAATCGTAAAGTCATTTACGTTAGCGCGTTTCAAAGTTAATGACTTGTACTTTAATGTGTAAGTAATATTTTTTATGCAAAAAACTTTGTTACAAAGTAGCAACTTGTCAGACTTGACATTTTTTTAAAAAAAAAAATTGCTTTGTTCGAAAGAGTAAATTTTTTGCAAAAAATTGAGATAAATTGATAATTTTTAGGTGAAAGTAGAAGACCTGAACATGATATCCAGAAATTGAAGTCGGTGAACAAACATGAAAATTGATTCATTTTTGAAAAAGTTATGACACTTTGAAAAATGACAATTTTTAGGAAATTTTAAGTGTCCCTAATAATTTGGAAGGGTACTGTACTTAGAAGGTATAATGCTTCTCACCAAAAACGTTTTTAACAAACACAGTATTTTATAGAAAAAAAAATAGTTTCCATGATAAAGAGAGAAGTACAAAGACCTGCAATTTTTTTTAACTGTATGATTCATATGTGGGGTTTTCCACTCTGATCACTCTTACTGTATATTTTTAGAATACTTGCCAATATGAATTTAGAAACGGATACAGACTAAGATTCAACACTGCTGGAAGTACTAGTGAAAAAGACCGAATGATAAAATTTCAACAAGTTTGATCGACTGATGAAACCCAGAGTTTTTTTTCCCCATTCTTCGCCGAAAATTAAATAGGTTGTGATATTCTCCTTTTTGCCCCTTTGTAGAGGTAAGCAAAATCTCGTGAGCGTTAATTTTTTGTATAAATATTAGTTTGAAACCTAATCAGGTATTCAGTTTTGACAAATATTCTATAGATATATATTATGGGAAGTCTATACGGAACACCCAACATTCATGTATATTTGACTTGATCAATTAATACCGAATTAATGTTTAAATTAATGCCAAAATTAATATGTTATTCCCAAGGATTTTAAAAACAGTTGTTTTGTAACAGGTATGCTGATAAAATCAGGAATCATTAGAATCAGGAAATAATAAGGAATTAAAATTCATATTTTTTTAAATCCATTTATTTTCGATTTTTTTGTTGCAACTTTATGTAACAGTATTATTATTGCTTTCATTATCTATAATTTTTCTGGATATTTCTTAGCAAATAACCCATTCTAATTCTTTCGAATTTTACTTTCTATAGATGATAACGANATCTGGCTTGCACCGACCACAGTGCTGACGTGAAATATCCTCAGTGGTAGACGGATCATGGGTTAGAGTCCCCTTGCTGTCAGGCTAACAGTGGAAGGTTCTCTTGGTCTTCCTCTCCATGTAAAGCAAATGCAGGTTAGCTCCTTTAAAAAAATACTCCACGAAGGCAAATTTCTCGTAATACTCGATCCAGGAGCTCCCTTATCTTCTGGATTGGGTTCAAAATTACAATGATACGAAGTTGAACATCGGTAGACGTAAATCCATAAAATAGGGTCGGTCGGCTGCTCAACGACGGTTATAAAATAAAAATAATATTGCTTTCTGAGATATTAAATTAAATATAGAAGATCTTATTTAATTTAATAATAGAATATAGAAGTGTGCTTTATCGCGGGTGTGAGCGTAACTTTAATTAAACTATCGAATGCTCTGTTCTCTGCATTATGAAATGCATTGAAATACAATGCATTTCGATACCTAAAATTATAGAGCTTGCCACTCTTTTTTCAAAGGTGACAGTTTTACATCAAATTGATCCTCAGTGTTGTTTTCAGAGATGCATCATACGTTTCCAAAAATTCTATAAAATAAGAACATAATGCACAGAAATATTTTATTACCTACTTAGAAGGTATAATGCTTCTCGCCAAAAATGTTCTTAACACAGTATTTTATAGAAAAAAAAAGTAGTTTTCATGATAAAGAGAGAAGCACAAAGACCTGCAATTTTTTTTTAACTGTATGATTCATATGCGGGATTTTCCACACTGATCACTCTTACTGTATATTTTTAGAATACTTGCCAATATGAATTTAAAAACGGATACACACTAAGATTCAACACTGCTCGAAGTACTAGTGAAAAAGACCGAATAAAATTTCAACAAGTTTGATTGACTGATGAAACCCAGAGTTTTTTCCCCCCCATTCTTCTCCGAAAATTAAATTGGTTGTGATATTCTCATTTTTGCCCCTTTGTAGAGGTAAGCAAAATCTCGTGAGCGTTAATATTTTGCTTAAATATTGGTTTGAAGCCTATAATCTGATACTTTTTTTTAATTTCATTTTTGACAAATATTCTAATACGAAACATAATGCGAAATTTTTGCTTGAAAAATTTATATCGAATTAATATTAAAATTGCTGTCAAAATTGATATTTTAATACCAAGGATTTTAAAAACAGTTGTTTTGTATAAGGTATGCTCATAAAATCAGGAATCATTAGAATCAGGAAATAATAAGGAATTAAAATTCATATTTTTTTGAATCCTTAATTATTCAAAAAAATTAAAAATTCATAATTTTCCTTAAATGACTAAACGATTTAATTTGTTGCAACTTTATGTAACAGTATTATTATTGCTTTCATTATCTATAATTTTTCTGGATATTTCTTAGCAAATAACCCATTCTAATTCTTACGAATTTTACTTTCTATAGATGATAACGATATTTTTCGCAAAGATTGACGCTGCAGTTTTAATTGAAATCATAAGTTTGTCTATGATAAGTGATCACTCACAATATTTTTTTTGTCATCTTATCTTTTCTGTTTTCTTATTCATCACCTGAGCATCGTATATCAAAGTGGAGGACTGTACTGATAATATTGTAAAATGTGATATATTTTTCACACGAGGTTTGTCATATCTTTGCATTCTGATAACTAGTCAATTGATGTGACTTAATCGTCGATAATTTGAAGTGTTTTCATCGACTATAAATATTAATATCGGATTGCTCCAAATACCCATAACCAGGGATATCATTCTGAAGTTCAGTTGGATAACTATTTGTAAGTATTTAATGTATATTTCGGTTTTGTGCAATTACTAGAAATTTTTAACTTATTTCTAGATCAATAGGACATTTATTTTTTTAAAAATATTATCAAAGTTTAAAAAAAGATTTGAAATTATAAGTTTTGAATTTAAATTAACGAATCAGAACAATTGTCGTGTAATAAATTTTGAAAAAAATTATGTTGTTAAAAATTAACATGGTGCTTTCATTATTTCAAAAAAGATTTAAATGAAATATAAATTCTCAACTAGTGAATGGTAATTTATTTAGAAAATATTTTTAACCGCACGTTATAAAAACAGAAGAAAACTATGAATAAAAAATTTAAAATTAAATAGCTATTAAATTTTTTGATTTTGTTTTCGTTTTTCCTTATGCAGATGTGGCAAATACTTTTATTTGAAACATTTAATTATGATACCTATAATATGTAGTTATGATACTTATAATTATGATACCTATTTGGAATGAGGTTATTAACTTAAAGCAAAAAAATGCATGCCAAACTGATTAAATATGCATTTTTTTATAATCAATTCTATATGTCAAATAAATTTTACACATTAGCAGATTGAAACAGGAAGTTTAAGGCAATCCGTTAACTTTTAAAATCATTAAAAAAGCGAAGTTTTAGTTTGTTTTGGATATTAATGTAATTTGAAATTATTTTAAGTTTTGTTTCGAAAAAATCTGTAGTTTTAATCTTTGTAACTTATTACAGACTTGAAAATACAGGCTTCTATACAATTCAAAATTTAAATTTAGGAAATCAATATGTGCATTGGAATAAAATTTTTTAGCATTCTCTCATTAAAACATTTATACTTATCGTGAAAACCATGATCTATGTTCAGCGTGATATTCTTGACATATTAATACACAGATTTTAAATAATTAGCTAAACATTTTTTCTAATTTTTTTTGTTATGTATAAGATTACATAAAAATATATATTTGTACTTTTGGATTGAGTTAAAATATTTATTGAAAATTTTAATAATATCTTTTAAATTAAAGTGTTAAACTATTTTCGGCAAAAAATAAAATTTCAAAAACTGCTTTTTACATTGAGAAAAAAATATGGTGAAATTTACAGTGCTTCTGACTCCATGGGAACACCAAAAATTTACCATATGAACGGAAAAAATTACAAAATAACCAAATGAATCGATGAAATACTGTATCTATAGATTCAGTTTTTTTTTTAAAAATTAAATTTTTTTAAAATTTTACAGAATGCTAATTTTATCAGAATTTTTTCTCTCTCTGTACTGATGAACTCTTTATCTCTAAACCATCAGCAATAATTTAGTAAACATAAATACATTAATTTACTATTTAATTTCGTTATTAAAGGTGTATACTTCTGGAAATGTTCACATTTTTTTCCAGTCTGTTTAAAAAAAATATAATTTAAAAATGCAAATAGTGAGCACAGTAAGATAAGTATTCACTTTTCGATTGCTAAAATAAATAGAAAAATGAAATTATTAGTTCTTTAAACATAGCGATAATCTCTTAATTTTTCTTAAATTAATATTTTCTGATTTAATTGTTTTTTTTTACTAACTTTCAATAGTTCTTTATAATTTTAAATGCTACTCATAGTTGTTAATTATAATTCATAAATTATACAAATAAAAGTAAAAGAAAAAATTATAAGATTATTGTAATAATTCATAAGGCTCAATAAAATTTTTAATAATTTGTATAGTCATTCTCAGAACTTCAAATTTTGCACTAATCGTGTCAAATTTTGCACTAAAAGTGCACTAATCGTGAATGACAATCTTTATTTTTTTGGTACAATAAATATTAACTTAATTAGTAAAAATAGGTTTTTAACTGTATACTCTTTATCGAGTGTAGTTTAAATTATTTTTCCTAATTATAGTCACATGGAGTTTCATGAAATTTTCCATTATATTTTATGGAATATAATTAACTGATAACATTTGTAAATAAGAAGAGCATTGTTACGTTTATTTTAAATTTTTGTTTCTATTTTTTCAGTACCAAAATGAAATTTATTGCACTTTTTGCCTTCATCGCTGTTGCAGCAGCGACTAGACTACCTTTCGATTCTCAACTAGACGAACATTGGGAAAACTTCAAGGTAAGCAATTCATTGAATAATTATTCCAAATTTCAAATCTTACAATGCATAGTCAAATTAATAGAATGATAAACTCGGCAACGAAAAAAACTTTTTTTAGTTTATGAACTATTTCATTTATTATCCTGTTTGTTTATTTTTTGAATAGTTTTTTATTACTGAAATTAACGTATGTAACCTCGTTTTTTTAGAGGGCTTTCGGAAAGAAGTATGATGGTAAAGAAGAGTTTGCAAGGCGTCTAATCTGGGAACAGAAAGTTGCTGACATCGTAGAACACAATCTTCAAGCTGACATGGGCCTCCACAAATTCAGAAAAGGTCTTAACCAATACAGTGATATGGTAAGATTTCAATTATTTCTCTTGTCTTTTATCTATCTTTAAAAAAATCAGTAAAAAAAATTCTAATTCTTAATTTTTAACTTAGAAGCAAATAAATTTTGAACATTTCCCATAATATTCAAAATTGTAGTCATAAGTGTAGTTATTGGTCACAAATTGAACTGGTAACACGTTATCAAGTTATACAGATACCCATTATTTTTAATACGTATTTTTATAACACATTTAATATTTTAACTAATTTAATCATTGAATATGACAGATGAGTTTATCAATTTAATTTCATTGAAGTATAAATTTTATTTAATTCAAATATTTATTTAATAAAATTCAGACATTAATTTCATTTAATAAAGGTATTAATAGTTTTTCTATTATAATAACACTGAGAATAATATATGGTCAAAACTACCAGAATATGGCACAAATTTTTTATACATATTTATATAACACATACGATAGTTTAAGTAATTTAATCAGTGCATATAATAGATCAGCTTATCAATTTGATTTCATTCAAGTATAAATTTGATTTGATTACCATATTTATTTGATAAAATTCAAATATTAATTTCATGTAATAAAGCTATTAATAGTTCTTCTATTATAATTATACTGAGAAAAATGTATGGTCAAACCTACCACTATAAAGTAAAATTTACCATATTTCTGATTCTATGAGAGCATCGAAAAGCTCAGTAATTTTTACCTAAGTGTTCGGTAATGATTTCGGTATAATGAACAAAAAATTGTGGTTTCATATTGTGTGATATAATTTGGTAAATGGGATAAAATTTGTTAGTTTTATCATGATATTTTGGCATATGATAGAAATCATTCTTTCGGTTAACATTATTCTTCAGTTTTGTATCTTTTATTAAATGTGTGGTAATAAGAACTGCAATTTTGAAAACCGAATTTCAGGTAAACCGTTTCTATATAAACGGAAAAATTGTTAAATGATTGATATAAATACCATACATTTAAGTTTTATTATCAAATATTAAGTTCTTTTTTTTTTACCAGAAATTTCCTTACCATACGGTACGGTAATTTTACCAAAATAGTTTTTTCTCGGTCTAAAATTTTATATTTTCGTTTCTTCAATTATTTTCTCAATTAAGAGCTTTCTCGTTTTTTTAAATTTTTAATTAATTACAAAGATGGTCGAACATTGAATGTGAGGAACATGCCAAATGTCTTGCTTAAAAGAAGTGCTATTAACCATTTTTTGGACAATACTTTAAATTATAGCTTGGTTTAGTATTTTTTAAATAACGAATATTTATTATTTTTTTTTTTAATAATTAAAGATATTTTTTGGCGTTTTTGAAACTCAAGTGCTTAATAAATAAATAAAAAAACTGCGAAGGTCATTTACTCTTATAACTTCACAGTCTTTAAACATTATATTAAAATCTTAAAAAAATTCTATATTTAAGGTTATGTAAGAACAAGTATTTAATTAAATTTTTTATTTATTTTATAGAGCCATGATGAATTTGTGAAACATTTCAATGGATTTAGAAGCCACGGTTTGAGAAGCAGAAATGGCAGTGTCTGGGTTGAACCATTGAACGCCGAAATTCCCGATACCGTTGACTGGAGGAAGAAGGGACTTGTTACCCCAATTAAAAACCAGGTTCGTTAAAAACTTCGTTAATTTAAAAAATAGATGATTTTTTTATTTAAATGCGTTTAAAGCGTTTTCAATTTTGATTATTATTCAAAATTAAAGGCTTAAAGGTAAAAGTGTTGTTCCTTTATTCAATTATCAAGCAATCGCATAACATAATATTCAAATTGGACCCATAATTTATCATGCAACTGTTTATGATAAAAATATTTAATTTCCATTTTACAATTATTAGACAGTAAGTTATATTTACTTTTAAACTAAATTTTATTTAAAGTTGTGTCCAGTAAACGTAAGCATTTAAAATAATGAATACAAAATAACTGTTTAAAATGTTAAGTATTTTAAATTTTAAGTTTAAAATTTGACTTCTCGCCCAATTTACGAATAATCTCTTCAGCGTAAAAGCATTTCACGTTTCGCCAGTTTTCATTGTTTCTCAAAAGTGAATATGAATTTCAAATTAAAGTTTCTGATAAAATACCCAAAATAATTAGGTATAAATTAAACAAAAATAGAATTGGAAACTAAATGTATGGAACCAATTCTGTATTAATGTAATAAATTTTTTTACGATCTTTTAATTGATTAATTTTTAATTTTGATCTAACAATCTGCTTAACAAAACAAAAATTATAGTGAAGATACTATACTCTTAAAAGAGAGAAGGCCTTTGCACTGATTCACAACGTTCGAACTACAAGAGGATTCGATTTCTCGTTAATGGTAACTTGTGCGAACGCCTTCTCTCTTTAAGGAGGTGTTGGAAGATATTGTAGGGGTTGTTGAGAGAAGTAATCAGGGGGAGGAGCCTTCTACTAAGGCAGATTATCTAAGTTTTCTTGGTGAAAATTATTCTGCAAAAGTAGACAGTATATTGTGTAGTAATTTGAAGGTTGTTGAAAAATTGAGATTTCATTTCACTTTTTTTTTCTGTAGAAAATGTGAACGTTGAGCTTCTCAAGGGGACAATAGCAGTTAAAATTCTTCGGTCTAATTGGACGCTCAATATTTATTTTAGACGAAATTATTTTAGTTGTTTACCATTGTATCGGAGATTTTTAGAATGAAATAATTGCGCCAAAGTTGTGCAACCTTATCTTCAATTTTCATTACAATAAGTACATTGTGTGTTTTACATAACGGTAGATAACCAGGTAAGCTACGCCAACAAATAAAGATAACATCACAGCAAAGAATATTTTAAGAACGCTTTTGACACTTTGTTTTCATAGAGCTTATCACCGAAAAAGAGTAGACAGATAAGAACAGTTTAAGTTTCTTTACTTAAATAACTAAAGCTCACTAACCGTCTATGTTTGAAGAAACGTTTATCGCCATCTCTTTCTTTTGATAGACAAGGAAAACAAACATTTATTTTGATTAAATGTAATATGTCTTATTTAATGGACTCGCTAATCATCTATATTTGACGAAATGTTTATCGTTATGTCTTTCTTTTGATAGACATGGAAAACATGTAATAATTGATAAGTTTATGTCTATTTAATGAACCCGCTAACCATCTGTATTTGACGAAACATTATTGAAATGTCTTTCTTTTGAACGTTATTGAAAACAAATATTTATCTTGATAATCGTAATATAATGGAATTGATATCATAAAATGAAATTTTTCTTTTGTTTGAATAAAATACACTATCGGTTTATGCTACAGTGATAAGCGTCGCTTTTCTAAAGATGGCTTTTATACATCAAGCTGTTTCTTAATATTGTTTCCAGATAAGCAGTTTGCAAAATTTGGAGTTTTCATTTGATTACAGCACAATACACAGCAACATCTCATTACACATATAAAAATTTTAGCATTTTTTGTTGTTGTTGATAAAAACGAACTCCTAAACAATTTCAAAATGTGGGTTATTATATTTTCAGAAGCTCTTCATACGAAAATTTTATTTTGAGAGAGTAACAAGCCAGAATTTTAATGTTCTTGAAAAAAAAACATTTTCTCGTTTCTAATTAGTTTCTAGGAACAATAAAGATTCACAACCTGAAAATAATTATGAACAAATAAAAAGAGAACAAATAAAATTTAGTTTCGAAATTCCTCCTATCTTTATTTACTAAATGAAAAGTGGTAGCTAAAACAAAAAACTATCGGCATATTTAACAATACAATTATTAATTTAGAGAGTTTCATTTAATAGGAACAATGTGGTTCTTGCTGGGCTTTCTCCACCACCGGATCTTTGGAGGGACAACACATGAAGAAGACCGGAAAATTGGTTTCACTCAGTGAACAGAATCTCGTAGATTGTTCTGGAGCAGAAGGTAAATTTTAATAAATTAAACAAGAAAAATTGTTCTAAGTTCCTAGATTTATTTAAATTTTTTAAAAATACTCTGAAAGAGAGAGAGAAAATTGTGACCTTGTTCGACAGCTGATATGATTTATAAGTTTCATGTAAATTTATAAAGACGCATAATGCACAGTTTTCTTGAATTGAATTTAATCATTAATTTTAATATAAAAAGATTTGCGTAACATGCATTTTCGCTTCATAATCTGTGCTTCCAAAGTTAGACATTATCAATGGGACATTCCCTTAAGAAATAATTTTGTGATTTAGTTTCGATACCGGTAAAGAAGTTTCTTAAAGTCAGGGTAAATTAAAAAATTCGTAAATGAATAAAACGATGAGCTAATTGACATCCGACTATATCACTCAAATTTTTAGTGTTAAAAGAAATGCACATTCAATAAAGATGTGTGTGGTAAAATAATATGTAACACAATGTTTAAAATTCATGAGAAGTAAAATAAAAGAAATATAACAATTTGAAATGTTGAAAGTTTATCTTCTTTTTAAAGAGAAATATTCTTGAAAACAAGAATTGAAAAATCCTTATTTGAAATAGTAGAATATCATTCAATAAAATGTTCTGAAAGGTGATAAGATCTAATTAAATTTTCTAGTGAACGAAGCCATTAAATGACAATAATTGAACACTTTTTAGAAAACGGAGCAGAGAAAATTATCTTCGCGATCTGATGAGTGAAGTTTCAATTTATAAACTAAATATACCCTATCATCGGTTTGTTAAGATTCATGGCTATCACATATTATGGAGAATATATGAACAAAATACATTATATTATGTATCACATGAAAATGGTAGATAATTATTTTATATTTGTAGGCAACATGGGCTGTGAAGGAGGTCTTATGGATCAAGCTTTCCAGTACATCAAACAGAACAAAGGAATTGACACTGAAGCATCCTACCCATACACAGCTGAAGTAAGTTTTTTTTAACAACGTATATTTTAAAAATGCTTCAAAACATATTGGGTTTAGAGAAGGTCTTGAATTCAAGGAATTGGAATTGGCAATATCGTTGAAAAGCTCATAGCTACAAACTGCATTGTCTCATTGTGAGGAAATTTACTTTAAAAACGTTTTATAATACGAAATCTTATAAAGTTAGTCCGAAAACAAAAATGTTGCAAACCAAAATTTGTTATGAAGTTGAGGATTTCTTGTAAAACGAAAGCAATCAGTTAAAACAAGAGATTGGAAAGACTATGCCACCACCAGAATTCAGACGTATTCAATTTCCCTAAAAGCAAGTGCTCTCTTGTCTGGAGTGCTCTATTAAATTGAGAACTTTTGTAAAAGAACAACCGCCGATTACAATGACTTAGAAAAGAATCTGCTACAATCAGGATTCATGATTATGCAGCCTACGTAAAAACAAGTGCTCTATTAATAAGCGTTGCCAGATTTTGTGAAAGAATAAGCACAACGAGTTTTCAAACCTTAGTAAAAGCAAATGTTTCATATGCTGGATCTTGAGCATTTTCATAAAACAGGAGCAGCTGTTAAAGTATATTAATAGAAATAAGCTGCCACTACCAGGATTCAAGCATACCTTACTTTCCTAAAGGAAAATGTTCTGTTATCTGACTACACTCCCATATTTTAAATAATGCTGAATATTTTAGTTTGCCCGATAAAGGGTAAAAATACAATTAGAGGATTGTATTTGAGAGCAAATTTACCTAATTAAAAATTCTTGAAATCTCACAGTTTTGAATTTTTGTAGGATGGTGACAGATGTCTTTTCAAGAAAGCCAATGTAGGAGCCACATGCACTGGATACGTTGACATTCCAACCGGTGATGAAGATGCCTTGAAAAAGGCTGCTGCCACTGTAGGTCCAATTTCAGTTGCCATTGACGCCAGTCACGACAGCTTCCAATCATACCAGTAAGTTCAATTAATAGAATTTTTCACTTTAACTCTCTTAGAATGCAACTGTTACCTTTCCATTTAGTTTTCGCTCGTAATGAGTATTCTGCATCATTTTCAAAATATTTATGCATGCTGGACTATAGTATCATGCAAGTTTACAGCGTAATACTTCATGAAGTTTTTAAATGACGAATACTATTTATGTGAAAATTAATATTTATACTCTTGATTAAGGGACATTATAGCAAACTAGAACGAAAACGCTGTGCAAATTTTATAATCTTAAGCTTACTGTTAATTTTCCAGATATCAGTACCGTTATTTTGATGAAAATTTTAGATTGGTTTTATAAATTAATACCATTTACTAATGACATATTACTCGAAGTCTGATTTGCTATTTTAATACTTAAATTGTTTCAAGGATAGAATAATAATATATGAAATAAAATGTATCTATTAAGCTCTGATCATGGAAATATTTCTTTTTAAAATTAAAGATTTATGCTAAAAATTGGTGAACTAGTCACAGAATTTTACCACAAAATTAGTACATTTATTGAATCATATTTGATATGAATATATATTTTTTCGAAGTGAATTTGTAATAGCGGTTAAAATAGTTAAAAATGAATATTGCTCTTTCAAATTACTTTCGAGCAATTTTCTTTAGTTAAGTTAGAAAACTAATTTTTTAAAAGTATTTTTATATGTGCGAAATAAGTAGACCTAAATTTTAGTATTTTCTTACGGTTATTATAAGAAATAATGAAATTTGAAAATGTAAAAATTCATTTTTCAACCATTTTATTTATAAAGCTTTCAAAAATTTAAGTGATTTATAAAAGTATTTACGAAAACAAATTTTAAAGTCTGAGTATTAATTTAGTGATATACTCAAGAAATTATTTTCTAAAGTCTAACTTCTTTTTTCCTAAACACTTCTTTTTTTCTAACACAAAAGAAGTGTTTTGTTTTAAAATATAACAGATGTATTTAAATATGTGTTTTAAACATTTTTTTAATTTTTTCAGAGACGGAATTTACGATGAACCTGATTGTAGTACTGACCAATTAGATCACGGTGTTTTGGTTGTTGGTTATGGAAGTGAAGATGGTAGTGATTACTGGTTGGTCAAGAACAGGTAATTATTTATTAATCATTATTTTTAGAATGTCAAACGAATAAACATTATAGAATAATAGTAAAGATTTTGTTCATATATTTTAAATTAACAAATTTTTCTCCATCTTTTTTAATTAAAATTATTTTTAACATCTCTTTTTGGAATAAAATAAATAGTTTTTTCTCCTGACAAATAAAAATAATATACTTTTTTATTGCAGTTGGGGAACAAGCTGGGGAATTAAAGGTTACATCAAGATGTCAAGAAACAGTGGCAACCAATGCGGTATTGCTACTCAAGCCAGCTATCCACTTGTATAAACTTTCAAAATATCTGTGATTAAAGTAACTGTGATTTTTAGGACTTGAAAATGGTTTTGAAAAGAAAAAGATTTTATGTTACGTTTTTATTAAAAAATATTTTATAAAAAATACATTTTTGTTTTATTTTAAAAATCATCGTAAGTTTATACACTAAAAAATAGAAGAATCTCGTAACTATTTAATGATTTTGAATTTAATAACCATTGCGCCTAAAGAAAATACATTAAAAAATCTAATTTTATTCGTTCAATAATTGAGGACATACTAGCAAAAATATGTAGTATTGAAAAGCAATCAGAAAGTAAATCAATCCTTTTCAGCAGTAATAAGATTTTTTTCTGCTTTTATCGTTTTTATTGAAAGGAAAATACTTTGAAAATTTTTTCAGAAATTTTGAGAAATATTAAAAATGCAAGAACAATTGAATTAAAATAAGAACAAAATTTACTGATTTTGAGTTAAAATTGTGAAACTCAGAGAAATATTCCTAACAAATTTAAAATAAATGTATTTAGTTCATATATATGTTCATGTATCATATATTATATTCCACATCAAATTACGGAATAAAGTACCGGCACTTTGGGTGCATTATCCGTAAAATCCATTTCTATCACAAAGTCTATTTTTATCGTAAAAAATTCACCGTAATTTTCATAGTAGTATTTATTTATATTAGAGTATTTCGGTGATTTTACGGCAATTATTGCTATAAAAATTATGGTATATCAGAATATTTTGCTCTGTAACATGTTCCGGTAAGAATGATAAAAAGTATCGGTACCCTGCTGAGTGTGGTACTTTTTACCGTAATTTGATTCCATAATTTCTTTACAGTGTACGTCAATATATCTAGAAGCAAACTCTATACAATTTAGTGAATCAAATTTGATAGTAGGAAAATCCTTAAGGAAAGTTCAACTGAAAATCTTTTTCAAAAACTTATTTTTCATTTGAATCCTCTGCTTTGCTTGAAAATTTCATAAAAGAGCTTTCCTAAGTTTGAAAAAATTAATTTTTGAAATGTAATCTGAAATTTAAAGAACTTTTAAGTCCAAAAATAATTTTATGAAATTGTCATAAATGGCTTTTTATGAAAATTTTAATAAATTATTCTCTAGGAATGTGCAATATCAAGAGAAACAAAACGAAAATATGTTTAAAAAATCTATTTTTGAAGGTGTAGGTGAAATTATGCAAAAAATGCGTCATAAATAAAAATATAAATATGATTACAATATTCGATTTTTATGTGTATTAATTTGCAATCTTTATGTTTTACACTAAACATAAAAAATATACTAATTAATTAGCATAACTATTGAGTTAAGAAACGAAATCAGAAAATATTATGAATGGCCTTTTAGATAAGTAATTCTGTATTCACTCATTTAAAATTCGAAAATGATCAACTGAATTATTCCTGAAATAGAATAATTTTTTTAAAAAAAATGTTATAAAAGCGTACAAGTCAAATAAAAATAATGATAATAAGCTAAAATTATTCAAAATAAGCTAATAATAATAAAATAAGTTAATAATAGTAAATTAAAAGGAATAAGAAATACACACCAGTATAGTTTAGTAAATATACGCTTTTGCCAACCTGAAGTGTGACACATTACATATTTACGGAGGGGTGGGGGAAAATGCGGATGCAAAACATTACCATAAAATAGTTTAAGAGGAAACACCAAAATGACTGTCGAAAAAAATATATTTTTTTAAAAGCAACTTTTATGATTGCATAGTGAGGATAAACTTGGATTTTTATTTTTGCATCATTTAACATGTTCTGAGCAAAATTTAAATCCGATAATAAGAGTAAATTAGGTCAAACAAAATGCCTGCACGATCTAATATGTACAATTTCCTTTTTGAGATATCTGAAAGGTCAGACATCAGTCAAATCGAGTTTCAATTTCTCCATCAAATTTAGCCGATTTCACGGAGAAAAAAAATTCTAGTAAAATCACCGGCAATGACAATTCTATTATTGAAAACCAAAATATATTGAAGTTAAACCCTTTAATTAGTTAAAATTTTTCCTTTCATATGATGCTGTTCATATATAATTTTGGAAACTATGGTTTTCAAAAATATAGCTCTTATTACCACACATTTGGTAAAAAATACATAAGTGAAAAAAAAAGTTGTATTAATTTTTTAAATTAATTTTTTTATGCCATGCTCTGATTTTTCATGAAGAAATTGACAAACTTTACCACATTTACCAAATTTTATCACAGATCATTAAACCATATATCATTGTTAATTTTATCATATCATTACAAAAGCTCTGCGGTAAAAAAAATACCGAGGTTTTTGGTGTTCCCATAGAGATAGAAACACGATCAATTTTATCATATTCTAGCAGGTTTGATCATACTTTTTTTTCAATGTTGCTTTAAAATAACTTAAGAAAAAAAGATGTAGTTTCCCCCATAATACAAAGCATGTTTTCTTATATATTTAAAACAAAGCAAAAATCACATAAAAAATGCGCCAAAAGTTAGGGTCTACCACTTAATTAATCAAAAGCTATAAATGCAATAAAAATACTATATGTTATGGAAACTATGTGTATATATGTTGTGAAAATTTCAAGTGAATCAAATGTTAAACGCCGCTTTACCTTGTAAAAAGTATCTACTACTTTTTGATTTATATGGGCTATCATTTAGCCTTTTAGAGCAAGTGCTTACTATAAAACTATCAAGAAAAAAGGGTTAAATTATGGAAATTTTGCCTTTGACTTTTAGAACAAGGGCTTACTATAAGACTATGAAGAAAAAAGGATTAAATTCTGGAAACTTTGACTTGGTCTTTTAGAGCAAGTGCTTACTAAAAAATATTAAGAAAAAGGATTAAATTTTGGAAATTTTGACTTAGTCTTTTAGAACAAGTGCTTACTATAAGACTATAAAGAAAAAATGATTACTTTTTGGAAATTTCACAATTGTGTTTCCCCTAAAGAATTTCTGAATACAGAATTCAGAATATAAATTCTTGATCGAATTAAGTTACTTTACAAGAACATGTTATGGAATAAGAAATCTGATATACCGTAATTATTGCAGTAAGAATTGCAGTAAATAGGATATAGGATATAGGATATAGGAATAGGATATAGTATTTTACAGTAAGAAAGGATTTTACTGTAAAATGAAATTTTTGGATGATGCAGTACTTTCGGTTGTAAAGTGAAAGTACCATAATTACCATAATTTGTACCGGAATTTCTTACTGCGAAGAACATTTAACTCCATAATTGAAGACTAGAAATAAGATAAGATTGTTAGAGTTATATTTTGAGTTCTAAAGAAACGCAAATTTACACGTGCAAGAACAAATCCAAGTGATACATTTTTGACAGAAAAGATTGATGAATAATCAATAAAATTCTAAAATTTACAGCTGAAACATTTATTAAAAACAAGTTTGAATTTATTAAAAGTAATTTGAAAGTTTTTTTTAAAGAAAAATAGTTCAACTACTGTTGCTTTTCTATTTTGTTTTATTTTATTGAGCAATTTGAAAAACCTGATCACTACTAAGTTCCTAATGAATAGTGAAAAGTTCATGACGCATTCAATTTAAATGCAGTTCAGGTCCACAAAACTGCCCTGAAGGAATAAAATAATTCGTATGCAGTCTTAGATCTTGAAATCTGGTTGCTTTTAAACTGTTTTTAAAACATAATATCAATTATTATTTAATTGAGAATCATTATAGTTAGCTTATTTTTTTGCATTATTATTAAGTATTATTACACAGATAAAAAAGCATGGTCAAAGCTACCAGAATAAGGAAACATTTACCGAGTTTCTGACTCTATGAGAACACCAAAAAGCATGGTGATTTTTACCGAAGCGATTTGGTGATGATTTTGGTAAAATTAACATTAAAATATGGTTTTATATAATGTGATTAAATTTGGTAAATGTGATATCATAATACCTTAAAGCATGGCATAAAAACCATTTATACGGTTAAATTTGCTCTTATAATTTTTACTAAATGTATGGAAATAAGAGCTATCAGTTTGAATACCAGAATACCATTACCACATGAACGAAAAATTCCCAAATGAATGGTTTAAATACCAGATATGAATAATACTAGAATTACGTTTTTTTCAAATTTTTCTTAAATCAGAAATGTCAATACCATACCTTAACACTAATTTTGTTAGAACTTTTTCTCCGTGTATTATAACTTATGAAGTTTTATTATGTGCTTCGTGATTCCATTAAATTTCTTTTGCCATTGTATATGGTGACTGGAAAATATTAAATCAACGCATATAATTTATGATAAAACTATTTTATTGTTTGCTATTCTAAATTGTCTTTAAATTTTTAAATTTAAGTTAATGAGAATAAAATTAAAATGGTATTTATAATTTTGGTTATTGAAATGTTCTACAGACGATAATTTTAAAAACTCAGTTTTTACATGATTATGTATTGAAACTGCGAGTTTACATGATTATGTAATTCACAGCGCATCCTGCGTCGCACTCCAAGCTGAACATATTACTCTGTACTGCAACTTTTGCATTTTTACGAAAATCAATTCAATATTTTGATACAATTATCCTAAGAGGATAAACTACCAAAAGATGCACAAAAAAAATTCTTTCATTTTTTGAACATTTTACTATATTGTTTCCCCTTAGGTGAATAATATTACTTGAAAACGAGCAAAATAGAAGAAAGTTTCAATCAAAGTCATATCAATACATAAAAGTGAATATATTTTTACAATACTTTCATAAAGCAACCATCAGCCAGGTTATCTACTTTCTTGGATAAGCAAAATAAGATACTTCGTTTAGTTTAATAAATGCTCCTTTTATTGTCCATGTACCTACCATCCCCCCCTCTTTATTTCCCCATCTTGACAGTTTACTATTAAAATCAACAGTCAGTGTCATCAATGGCATCAAAATCTCACCTTTTCATTGTTATTTTAACGTTAAACATTTATATTCGCCTATAAAGATAAACATTCCATAACGGCCCACCCATCTGACATAGTGAATTCTCATCATAATGAAATTTAACTACAAATGTATCGTAAAATTACAATTTTATAACCCTCCTTG